GGGAACCCCCGGGGCAGCCCCGGGTGAGCGGCACCGGCGCGGCGGAACCGCGGGACCGCCCGCAGCTCCCGGGGGCTGCTCGGGGGGACCCCCGCGCTCACCTGAGGTACCGGGGCGGCTCCCGGGCGGGGCAGGACGCGGAGCTCATGGCAGGGAGCGGGACGGGAGCGGCGGCGAACGGAGCCCTCGGCGGGAGCCGCGCGGAGCCTCCGGTGGGACCGGAGCCGCTGGGAACGGCGCGGATTCTCCGGATCCCTGGGGGATGTGCCGGCCCCGCGGGCTGCACCGGCGCTCGGTGGTGCCGCCCGGGGGGCGGTGGCTCGGGCTGCCCCCGCCCCGCCCGGTCCGGTCCGGCCCCGCTCCCGGGAACGCCGCCCGTGATTCCCGCAGCCGCCACCCCGGCAATCGGGGTCAGAACACACGGGAATTATTGTGCTAAACCCCTAAAATCGGTGCTTTTCCAGCGGGATCCGCATCCAGGGGGTCGGGGAGAACTCGGGGCCCCCCGGGACACCGAGGGTGGCAGGGGACAGGCGGGGACAGAGCAGGACACGGCCCCTCCCTCCAGCCCACATTCCCAGCCCGCATTCCCAGGACACCCCCGGGACACAGAGACATCCAGGAACACGCAGGACCCACACGGGTCATTTATTTATTATTCCTTTATTAATTCTTAATTAACAGACTCGGAACAGGCAGCTCAAGGCTCGGGATGGAGGGAAGAGCCTGGGAAGTGCCAAGAAAAGGGGGAAAAGCGGGAAGAGCCGCGATCTCAGACGTAATTCTGCAGCCCGAACTTCTCGCGGTCCAGCTCGGCCTCGGGCCGCAGGAAATAGAGCTCGTCCAGSGTCGGGGGCACCCAGCGCTCCGTGTGGAACCGGGACTCGCCCACCTGAGCACCGGGGAACCCGGGGGAAGCGGCTTCAGTGCCCCATTCCAGGGGATTCTTCCAGCCCGGGGCCAGCCCGGGATCCGAGGAGTGGGGAGGGGGCGGCTCCCACGGGATCTCAGAGGAGCAGCCCCCGCTCTCCTGCCCCTTTTCCCCCAGCAACCACAAACCCAGGGTGAGCCCGGCTTCCCAGGGATCCCAGCGAGCCCAATCCCTCGGGATGGATGAACCCCCAAATCCCTGGGATGGATCCCCAAATCCCTCAGGATGGATAGATCCCCCCAAATCCCTGGGATGGATGGAACCCCAAATCCCTGGGATGGCAGATCACCCCAAATCCCTGGAACAGGAGGATCCCACAGGATCACGAAGGGGATGGGAACCCCCATTTTTCTGTCCTGCCCATTTTTCCTCGCAGGAATCACAAACCTTCCAGCCGGGAACGTCCTTCATGATTTTGGCCTCCTCCTTCAGGTTCTCCTGCAGCATCCGCAGCGTTCTGCGGGACAGGGCGTGGCAAGGGGGATCCCGATCCCAAA